AGCATTCTTGTTCCTCAAATTCCTTCAGCTTTAAATATCAAACCTGCAAGGGTTGCTTTCCTAGTTTACTTTTCTGTTGCTGTGATAAAACACCATAATCCCAGGCCAAACTCCTGGAGTCCAGTGTTGGAGAGGGAGGAGCAAAGGGGTCAAGACCATTTTGAGGAAGCCCACAGAAACAGCTGACCTGAGCAAGCAGAAGCTTACTGACTCCAGACTGAGAGCTGGGGAACCTGCCTAATACCTAACAAGGCACCCTGCATGTGGGCCTCAGTTGGAGGGCTTGGGCAGTTTATGGGGTTGCTGGTAGTTGAATCAGTAATTATCCCTAATGCATGACCTTCCCTATGGAAGGATACCTACAGGGTGAAGGGCATAGGTGCTATCCCAAATGATGTGACAGACTTTGATGAGTCTTCATGGAAGGTCACACACTCTTTGAGGAGTGGGTGTGGGGTGGTCTTGGGAGAAGGTAGATGGAGTAGGAGAACGAAAAGAGAGAAGGTTGTTAAAAAATGACCCATAGCAACTTGAAGAGTTAAGATTTGACTTACAAATTACAGTCCTCCATTGAGAGAAGCCAAGCAGGAACTCAAGACAGGAGCTTGAAGTGGACACTTCAGTCCATTATTGAGTAAAGCCAGAGTAGGACATCAAACAAAAGTAGAAATAAGTACCAAAAAGAAATGCTGTTTACTGACTTGCACCTAGATTCATGTTCAGCTGCACTTCCTCTACAGCCCAATCCCAACTACATAGGAATGGGAACACCACAGTGGGCTTGGTGTCCATAAATCACATAGAAATAGAGATATGTCACAGACATGCCCATAAGCAAATTTGATGGAGGTGATTATTCAACTGAAGCTTCCTATTCCCAGGTACATCAAGTTGACATCCAAGGTTAGAGACCACAATGTCCTATTCTGGGACAATCTGTTCTAAGCCATAGCACATCATTTAGCCAATTGATCACAGATGTATAAGTCTGAGGGATGGAGTGTTGAAATGTATACTAGTTCCTTCTTAGCTATTGTTTTACTTTCCATGGTTCTATGTTCCCATGGCCAATATGAATCAATAGAGTGCCAAAGATAGATTGACGCACAGAGTGACAGAGATCACATTCTCCAAATTTATGGCAACATGTTACTGTAATTGTACTATCTTATTGTCAACTATTAATTTTCTAACTTGTTTAATATATAGATAAATTACCATGTACTGTAGAAGTATGTGCACATAAACATAAGATATTCATAGGATTTAGTTCTAACTGTGGCATTATCAATAATCACAGGGGCTTTAGCGTGTTCCTGAAACATAAGTATGATGCAGTAATATTCAAAAATTAAAAGCATGGAAGCCTAGATTGAAAATGGGTATATGATTCATTTATAGCATCATAGAAGAAACCAGAGCAATACTACTTATCTAAAAGCAGTGGAGAACTTGGTACCATAAGTACTCTTAGTAATTTGGGGCTTTTACAGTTTGAGAGTAACTAGACAGTGTTTTGTGTAGCTAAGAAGACCTCAAATTTGCTGTGTATCTGAGGATGACCTGAGACTTCTCATCCCCCTGCTCCCACCTCAGCAGTGCTGTGATTACAGGCATACATCATCAGGCCTAGTTTACACGATGCTGGGGACTGAACCCAGAGCCTTTTGCGTTTTCAAAGGTAGCATTGTGCCAACTGAGCAACATCTCCAGCTCATTTTTAATTTAATTCATTTCATGAGTATTTTAACAAAATTAGAAGAGAATTGGGGAATAGATGTGAGCACTTAACGACTCATAAAATTGTATCACTGAGATTATTTTTCCTATAACTACAAATTATACACTGTAGGTACACACTAGTATATAAAACTACACTACAAACTACAGTGTAACAGTTATGGAACTATAAAATATAAAATGTTCAAATAAAACATATATTCTTTTATGTGGCTGCTTTATTCATTGCATCTATTAGCAGTAAGTTATTTTAATTTGAAGTGAATAAGTAAAATACAATGTATTGGTGATTCATTTTCCCAGAAATAAAATCTAACATTTGAAAAAGATGGTGACCTCTTCATTAGAAATCACAGATATTAAATAGTTCCATCCTTGTGACATGGTATTGGAATACAGAGAATAAAAATTTTTCAAGCTTTTTTTCTTCAGTGCCCAAGTACGACACTAAAGGAATCTGTTATCTCTCATTGGCTTTATTTAAAAATCCTGAGTCCTTTTATGTAGGCAAATGTATTATAAAGCTTTCTTTTCCTATCATTTCTACATCTTTTTCCATTCTTTTTTAGTTTTTATTGTTTGAAAAATCTATATAGGAATAGAACATGTCTTGATCAAACCCATACCCCACCCAATTTCTCCACTATCTCTCTTATCACTTTTCTCTCTGATGTATTCTATTTTTTTTTTAACCATGAGTCCACTTAGCTGCCCTCTGTTTCTCTGTATACTTCCACCTACTGGAGCATTGTATCCTTTCAGGAATCATATCCCTATAGAAACTGATATGCAGTACATTATAAAGGAGCCATAATGTTTCCACTGTCCCTTAGACTAGAAGCCATCTTCAGCAGTTCCTTGCCCATTCCATGCTGTGTTTTGGGCTGCCTTGATATTGTACAGGCCATGTGCATGAACTCTCAATGGCCATGTTATGCTCGGCAAGAACTTGTTTGCTGTAGATATCAATTCACTGACTCTTAAAATTGTTCTGATCTCTTCTGAAATGACCTGTGAGCCTTGAAGGAAAGACAAGTAAATTAGATGACCATTTTAGTGCAGAGACTGCACATCTTATTCTCTGTGCTGTTGATCAGGTGTGGGTCTTTCTCTCTCTCTCTCCCTCATATATATATATATATATATATATATATATATATATATATATATGAGATAATCCAACAATGCCTTGCTCTGAACAGAATATTCCAGAATATAGTCCCCTAAGGCTGGGTATCTCTGCTGGTTTTTTTTTTGTATAATGTAATATCCTAGCAAAGTGTAATCCACTGCCAATGAAGGAATAAATATGCTAGCAGGGTCAGAACAGGCAGACAAAGATAGAATCACACTGGGCCTGGCTTGAACACCTGAAACCTCAAAGCCCATCTCCAGTGCATACTTGTCCCTAGAAGATCAGACATACTCCAACAAGGCCACACCTCCTAATTGTTCCAATATCTGTGAGGCTATGGGGACCATTTTTATTCAATCTCTATTCTGCCAAAAAACTTCTGTCATGAGGGTTGAGACATCTCATGGATATAAAGAGAGAACTTATGGATAGGAAAATGAGAACGTAAGTGGTTGTCTATTGCTGTTTCCATTCAGTAATATTAAAGGATGTGTTTATTTTCAACTGCCTATGAGCTTGCTAGCCACCAGATTTCTGGCCCAGTTAGTAGTACTAGGCATGACTCTTTTCTAGTGTGTTGGCATTAAGTATGACAAAAAAATGTGTTTACTCCCATAACATTCATTCTACTATTGTTCCACTGGTTGTGTATTGTCAGATCAGTCATTATTTTGTCTAACAGTGTTCACAGGTGAGCAAAACTATTGAGCATTTTCCCTCCCAATTATATACATAGAGCATTTCAGCACTATGAAATCAAGTCAGGTTGGTACCAGCTTGGTGATGCCATTTTCTATCATTCAAGTATATGGTGTCTTTGGCAGTAGGGTCTTTTCATCAAGTGCAATGGCAACACCTGCAATGTTTGGATGGTTTATGGGACCCCGTTATCTAATAGCTCAGAAACAGGTAACCCATACTTGTCACTAGGCATTGTATTTGATAGTCTATGTTTGTGTCTTTTTTATATTTAAATTTAAATTAGAAACAGGGTTGCTCCACATATCAATCCCAAGTCCCTCTCCCTCCTCTCCTCCCACACTCCCCACCTCCTCCCCCAATCCACACTCCTTTCCCCAGGGAGGGTGAGGCCCTCTATGGGGGGTATCCACAGTCTGTCATTTCATCCAGGGCAGGGCATAGGCCCTCCCCCAAAAGTCCAGGCTGAGAGAGCATCTCTCATTGTGGGATGGGCACCCAAAGTCCATTTGTATGCCAGGGATAAATATTGATCTACTACCCAGGGCCCCATAGTTTGCCTGGGCCCCCTCACTGACACCCACATTCAGGGGTTCTGGATCAGTCCCATGCTGGATTCCCAGCCATCAGTCTGGAGTTCAAGAGTTCCCCCTTGTTCAGGTCAGCTGTTTCTGTGGGTTAGACAAGCCCAGTCTTGACCTCATCAGTCCTGATAGTCTATTGTTTTGAGAATGCCTTTTCTTACCATTAAAGAGCAGATCCATTTTAGTTATGCATATACTCATATGTATATGTTTACATATATTAGGTTGCTTCCACAGTAGACTGTTACCCAATGGCATTTTCTGTAGACATTAATGGCAGTTATCCCATCCTGTACCCTTTTTTACCTCTCCTCCCATCCCCTGTGCATTTATTTCTTCGTGTTCCCTTGTTCCTCTTTACCTCTTTATAGCACATGGTTTTTAATCTCCCTTCCCTTGAGATTCCATAACTCCTACTTTTTTATAGATGACTGAGAACAAATGTTCACAAAATCTATTCCCTTATTATTGGAAATCACCTTTATCGTTGAACCTCTCATGTTCATTTGACAAACACAGAGAATATTACAATGTAAATGCTTAAATTTCAAGATTAAATCTCTAAGTCAGCTTCAGTCTTCAGCTTTTACATAGCAAAGAAGCAGCCATGAGGAAGACATTATTTTACATATTACAGTAACTTATTTTCACATTGTTGAAATTTTTCTTTCAGTTTTTTTTATATGTAAAAACAAAACAGACAAAACAAAAGCACAACTGACTACCTAACAACAACCTGTGTTTCAACTCCCTTGTAGGATGGCTTGGCAGACATGTGTATTCTGGCTATGATTAAGAAGTTTATGTCTGTGACTGAGTTATACTGCCTATGTGTTTTTCAGATGTGGAACAAATGGCAATTGACTGGCTTACCAGAAATCTCTACTTTGTGGACCATATCAGTGACCGGATCTTTGTTTGTAATTACAATGGCTCTGTGTGTGTCACGCTGATTGAACTGGAGCTTCACAATCCTAAAGCCATAGCAGCAGATCCCATCGCAGGGTAAGAACATCACCTTCAGCTTGCCTGGTCTAGAAAAGTTACCATAAAAAGGGATCAAAGTGTAATATGAGGTTTTGTAGGAAGCAAGACATTAACATTATTAAAAAGAAATTCATTGTTTTTAGTGCTAGCATTGCAAGAAGAGAAACAGGATAATAGTCAATGTTTGAAACTTAGTAAATATCTGTGTCCTAGCAATGTCTAATACCACAGAAACCAACGCACTTCCTTTTACCTGAAAATTTCTTGACATCCCCAGAGAACCTCAGCAGGGTGTCAAGTTCAGTTTTGATGCTCAGCAGGGAACCTTAGAGTTAGCAAGTTTCGCAAATACTTCTTGAAAGACACTGTTAATCTACTTGAAAGACACTGTTAATCTACCTTAGTCAGCATAGCAGTTAGGTTTTTATAAACAAAATACAATGTATGTTCAAGGGTATGCCAACATTAAGGATATCTTTGTTAGTTCAGACTATTTTTCCAATAAACGTTGATATTTTAGCCTAATAATACTATTGGATACTATTGGATTAATGAACTCAGCAGAATTCATTTTTATTTGTTAGCTTTTTAATTTGTGATCCATTTCATTGGTTTCAAAACAGTCCTTATAAGACTCTCCCTTAACTAATAGAGTCATTAATCTTTTAAAATATTTAGTGCTTGCTAAAATATAATCACAAATGTTTATTTGGAAAATCTATACAGAAAAAGTCCTTTATTTTATACACATGGCAGTATAATTGGAAGGGGATACAACAAAGAGGCAGAAAGTTTCCGAGTTCACCTGCTCACCAGTCAGTAAAGCCAAGGAGACTGTAGAACCAATCACATAGAGTGCTGTTTTACTTGAAAGGACTGTTGGTTTTGAATATGTAAATTGTAGCAGATTGAAAACTGGAATTTTATTCTTACTGTCATTTCAGTAGTCCTCAGGCAGTTCGGCTGAAATGTCTTATGGAACTTATCCTAAACTGCCATAAGCCTCCATTCAATAAAGGGGAAAATATTTACTGAAGAAACAGCTGCCATCCATATGTGGACTTTTGTCACTCTTTACTTAAAGTCTGATTGAATATTAAGATGCATCATCACAATGGTTCTGATTTTGACATGAACAGCTTGCACGTAAGGACTTTGCGAGCAAGGCTGTGTAACATAATTCTTGAATGAGGCTCTATTTGTGTTTGCAGCAGATGGTTCCTTGACTGCAGCGATGCTTCAAAAGGCATTAGTAAAAGAAGTTGTATTTAAACTGATTTGTTTGGGTGGTTGGATAAGGCTAGTAAGAAAGAACTAGAGATTTACAAATATGCTCAAGGCATTCTCTTGGCATCCTTTTCAGAAATGTATGTGCTTGCAAGCTTTTCTCCGATGGTGATAACTGAATTGCAAATTGGCCTTCTGATTGTCTTGTCTATCTAAATGTTGAGAGGTGAAGCTGCTGTATTCCTCTTTGCTAGTCACCACATCCTTTGCCTTTCTTAAAAACAAAGATGCTTTGACTCCTTGCAGTAAATTTGCCAACTGAAATGTAACATGTGTGAATGCTGTTTCTCATTCTCAGCAACAGCATGCTTTATGTTTGCAGGCAACTTATTTTTCCCTGTCATTATGAGAAAGAATCGTATTTTGTCATTTTGTCAACAGAATTAGGAATAGAAAGCCCCACACTGTTTGCACACATTCTGTGATGGGTTCCTTGGGACTTTGTAACTGCTTAAATGTAATTTTGCTATGTGTCATTTGTCACAATAGGTGCTCTGAAAATGTTTTGCGTGGTCTGACTCTAACTCCATTTTCAGTCATGATCACAGATATCAAAGCAAGAATTGTTCTGCAAGTGTGTGAGTAGAAATGGTCTGCCACTGAACACTTCAGCTCAGCCCCCTCCTGTATATAAATAGTCTTTGGCTGACAGTGCAGTGAAACTTGGAATGTGACAGGATTCCTCTTCCATTGATACTATGACTTGCTCTCAAGATAATATCTATAACTGGGATATGAATAGGGATACGTCTTGATATTAACATTTTCCTTATTTCTAATTTTGCAGCAAAATGTCTCTTTGCCTCAGGGTGTTTGAATTGTTCACAAATATCAGAATACATCAGTCATCTGGCCAGAAACTTGTGTCTTAACCTGAGGAGGCTTAGAACACAATGAGAATGCCCTATGCCCTAAAGACCATATAGATGGAACACCACTCTCTTGACTATGTCTGTGACCTGACTCTTCTCACCCTCTTCTCCCTTTGCACATCACAGATGTTCCAAGCTTAGCATCATTATCTTTTAAATTTTATTCTTTCTTGTCTTTACTTCTTTAAGGTTTGGCTACAGAAAACCAGTATTCAGTGGATTCTCATTATGCCTGAAGCCAATTTAAAAAAACAAAGCCAAAAAGATGTTTCTAATGATGTTTATATTGTCTTCAATTTTTAATTACTTATTAAACTTATTTTTTCAGGCTGTTTTTCAGAGACATTTCTCAAGTTTTTCCTTTAAATTTTTCAGCAATATTTCCTTGGAATAACTCCTTGCAAAGCACCTATGAATTATTGCTGAGGAGCCATTAGTTTTGGAGTCTGACAAAGAGGTCATGGTGTAAGCAACATCAAAAAAAAAGCCAGTCTTTCAGGTAGCTACTAAGGTTTTGCTTGTTTAATAGTTAAGAACTATATCTTACACCATCATAGACAAGGTTTCATTTCTATAAGATTGACTTATTAGTGGCCAGTCTCCACAAAGGGCTTATTTCATGTGGACTACCTATTTTATAATAAGTTATTGAGAAATATGAGACAAATAATAATAATGAAATATCTCTAAGGAATGAAAACAACATGTTTTCATTCTGTTGGAGCAGAAATGCCGAGCAGCTGTGGGTATGAGAATGGAGGGAAGGAAATATTCACATGCATTGATACACGTATAAATTCTTTTCTTAAAGATTTTTTTTATGCTGTGAAATCTTAAATAGGATACAAAGATCTTGGTAGTGTACATTCTATAAGAAAAATAATTCTGTATCACAAATTTCTTCCTTTACAATATATTCTAATCAATTCCTCCTTCCTCAAAAATTCCCAGATCCCCCGATCTCTCTCCATACCCAATGCCATGGCATTTTTTTCTCTTACTCTCAAACAGAAACAAAAAAACCCTAAGTCTTATTAAGAGATATTAACAAGAGAAAAGCATTAGAAAGTGATGATTATTGTCAAAATAACATAGGAGGCTTCAAAATTGGAAAACCAAAACACAAAACAAAACCTGCAAATTCTATACCACATTTAAAAGATGCTTGTACTTGTAATAGAACAGGGCAAAGGAAGTTATTATTTGATGGTGATTAACTAGATAGGGGATCCTGCTTCTTCAAGATCTGTGTCTTCAAAAATAGGGAACAGACTGAATATCAGTTTGTTTGTTGTTTTGTTTGTTTGTTTGTTAATTTATTTTTAAAATTTTCTATCTCCTCAAATGCTAAAATGTCACCCTGTGGGATAGCATGATATGAACCTCACCAAGGAAAAGGGAAAGGAAACTACCTGTATTGGCATGGATTTGCATTGACTTCATCATTTTCAAACCAAGGGGGTAACAAAAAATTCATAATATTTGCATTTGTCTGTGCACACTATTGGAGGAGGCTTTCTTCAATGCTGCGTAATAGCTGGATCCATTGGCTTTAACTGAGATCACAGCAAGCCAAGTCTGGTCTTCAGATTCTTATTGAGCAAAGTCTCTTCATAGCGGACCTCAGAGAGGGATAAATTTCACCATGATGAGAAATCATCAAATATTGCTGAAAGTGATGATACCAACTAACCTAAAAACAAGAAAAACAAGGTACAATAATGAATATTTATCCCAATCCACAACCTTTACTTACAGATTTAAGTGCTGAAATGGTGTTTTTCAAATGAGTTTAAGCTTGCATTAGTTGGTACCATCAGGGCTATATGCAGTTCATAGCCTTGGTAGGTAGTGTGCTAATTTACAATCCATGAATTGCATACCTTTTGAAATCATGCAATTTGAGTTCTTAAATTTTGATCCCTCACTTTTTAAGGGAAGGATACACATACACACACCTGTAAGAAAATTAATACATCGACTTCTTAACTTTCTTCACAACAATACAGACATAGGTTCTGATTGTTTTCCACAAATAAGGGTAGACCCTTATTCAAAAATAGCACCTCTACTTTCTTTCATGTCTTTTAAAGTATATATGTAATAATAAAATAAATATTATATGTATAAAATTGCATACATCTGAGGAGTACAATAGAATATGATGATAAAGATGCAGCATATAGAGATGAAATTGAATAACCTGTCTTAAATGTTTACTGTTTCTTTGTGTTAAGGCTATTCAAATTCCTTTTTTTGAGTTATTTTGACATTATATAAATATATAATTATGGTAACTATTAATTGAAATCCCTCTTAACTTGGGCCCAGTAACAAAATATGTACTTCCCACCAATCTTCTTGGTGTCAGGAAACCACTGTTGTCCCCTCTACCCATTAATGATCAATGTTCCGTTTCTGTATATGAAAAAAATGTACTATTTGTCTGATTATTGGCTCATTTTACTTATGTAATGCCCTTAAAACTCATCCATGTTTCTATAAATAGCAAGATTTCGTTCTTATTGATGGCTGAATAAAATTCTAGTATGATCAACTATACACTAGTATTTTTCTTCATGTACCCATTGATAGACTGGACAAAATTTCAGACATTAGGAATCTAGTTGCAATAAACAATGCAGTGTAGCTGTATTGTTTGACATTGTATTGCTTGATATTGCTGCATCTTATGATACCTATGCATCCTTTATATTTTTGAGGACACTCCATTTTGTTTCCCTAATGTCTACGGCACTGCATGTTCCTACCAACAACATGTGAGATTTTCCCCTTTTCTTGAGTTTTGGGATAATGTACTATCTGTCAGAATCTTCTTGCATATTCTTCCTCATTGGC